CATCACTTGTAACATTCGGAGTGGGAAGCTTTGAATTTTCGATGTTTCCATGTTGCGGTTCTCCCATGTCGACATTGCCCTTTTTACCTTTACTTGCTTTGCCTTTGCCCTTGATGATGTCGCTTCGGCCATCTTTTCCGTTTTTATAGTCGCCACTATGCGGTCTTGAAGTGTTTTCCTTCGCAAGTAATTTTAGGGTTGTTAACAGACTGTCCCTTTCCTCTGTAACGGATAACAACTTTGCCTGTAGATCGTTGTATGTTAATACACCGGTATATTCAGATTTCGGTTTTAGCTTTTGTTCAAGTTCTTCTAACCGAGTCGCGAGCGAATTTATGTAAATCGAATTTTTTTTACAACCAGGACAGAACTGTGGTTTCTCAAATTCACTCGGAGCACTGTCGTTGAGATAAGTGTCTTCGTATGCATCTATATTTGACTCCAAATCTTTGTCTTGGGTCTGTTTACCAGCAGCATCACATGCTTCGCTTTCGACTTCGTCTTCGAAGTTGCCATAATTTACATGGTTGGCTAGCGCAGTTGTTTCGGCACTAGAATCTTCAGATAAAGTAGCATAGCTTACAATATTTTTCTTCACTACATCCTTCATTGCACCTTGTACGTTTACTGTCTTCGTAGTTGGGTAGAATGAAATCGTGACCGTATCACATTTCAACACATGAAAGCCGCCGTTATTCTTTGTAAACGACCACTCGCCTGATAACTTAAGTTGGCATTCTAAGAACAATTTTAGTTCAGGCAGATCGCTGAGCCATTTAATTTTAATCCCACTACGTCCCTTCTCAATTGAGAGGGGAATTTGTGATGTGGGAAGCTTTGAAGAAGAAGCTAGAAGGTCATCGTTTATAGATAGATAGATAGATAGATAGATAGATAGATAGATAGATAGATAGATAGATATAGATATATATAGAGGATATATTAGAAGTCTGATTGTTCCAATTAGTCAAACTAGATATTGATATTACATCCAGCACAACCATTCATAATTCTGTCTGAATAATTCCGAATCTCAAGTGCTTCGATCACTTCACACTCATACCAGTAATTTATATTTGAATGGAGGATTTCCCAACTTATTGTCGACTCGCTTTGTGGGTCAATATTGTGAGTGCTAAGGTATACATGAACTGTTTGTTTGTCCATTCAGAGATGATCCTTTATCCGCGATCATATTGTTCTTGCGGTTTCTCCCACATAGACCAGATGACAATGTAAACAATTAATAAGGTAGATCGCATTCTTAACCTTGCATAGATTAGTTTTAATTGCTAGTTTACAAGTATCACAGTTATCGGGGCAACTTAGCTTCTCTTTACGTGGAGCAAATATTTTTAATAGGGATGGTCCATTTACAAACTGTAATCTAATGTTTTCAAGTCCAGATCGTCGGACTATAGATAAGGCACGGCGCGTAAGCTCTTCATTAACTCCTTTTCGACCAGCCCTATGAAAACTATTGCAGATCTGCAATAGTATTTTGGAGGTTCATATCTTCGGTTCAGTACATGCTACGTGAATGAAAATACCACCATTCGATTCAGCGAAATAATATCTCCCGATTCCTAGTGATAGTTTTAGTCAAACACAAATATGATACCGATTTATGACCTTTGAAGGGTCGAGAGGTATCATATTTCAACAAATTACATATTTGTTCTAAAAATGTAAACAATGTAGCACTAAAACCATGCCTTTCGCTGGCACAACTTTGGCCCGTTCGAACGTGTGTTTTTCATTGTAGTCTTGTTCGATTCACAATCAAAAACACTATTTACAGTGTTATTTTGAGGCTTGTAGCCTCAGGTTTTCATCTTTTATTTCGATATTTCATTCTGTTGCGATGTTAGTGAAGTCAGCGGGATATTTTTTGACCGGAAATGCGATTTTGCAGTACCGCAATAGTATTTTGGAGGTTCATATCTTCGGTTCAGTACATGCTACGTAGATGAAAATACCACCATTCAATTCAGCAAAATAATATTTCCTGATTCATAATGATAGTTTTAGTCAAAGACAAACATTATAGCGATTTATGACCTTTGAAGAGTCAAGACGTATCATATTTCAACAAATTACATATTTGTTCGAAAAATGTAAACAATTTATCACTAAAGCCATACCTTTAGCCAGACACAACTTTGGCCCCTTCGAACATGTCTTTTTCATTGTAGTCTTGTTCGATTCACAATCAAAAACACTATTTACAGTGTTATTTTGAGGCTTGTAGCCTCAGTTCTTCGTCTTTTATTTCGATATTTCAATCTGTTGCGATATTAGCGAACTCAGCAGGATATTTTTTGACCGGAAATGCGATTAAAATTCGCCAAAACATCGCGTGTTTACATCCTAGCGCTCGGGAAACGTCGGAAATCGATTCTAAAGGTCAAATTACATGTGCAGCATGATTTGCACGTGCATCGGGCTACAGGTACTTCTTATTCGCCAATTTTAGCGTGTGGCACACGCGTGTGCGAGAAAAACGAAGAAAAACCCGATATTTTTAAAAACTCAAAATAAACATTTCTACTGGCTGTATTCAAATGAAATTTTGGATATAAAAGCGCTTGAATACAAGGATTATTTCACTCTCATTGATTTGAGCCGAACTCTGAAGAATTCACAAGTTATTTACACTATTGTGGAAACAAAATTCCGAAATTTTGGCCAAGCAGTGAGTAAATATATGATTGTTTCGGTTTGTGTAATGCTTTGACGGCATTCGATCCCCCGTTGCAAAGGTTATTTTATTAGGATTTCAATGGTATTCTTTGTTTTAAAGGGGGGTGAATACGCGCTGAGATATTTATGTTATAAACAATTGAGTTGTAAAATCGTCAAAATGTCGATAAAGAGTTAATAAAGGGCAGCTCGATGTTTTCTCGTGCTTGGGTGTGTAATGTTTGTTGCATGACTGAGTTAATACATTTCTTTGGGTATCCATTACTTGCAAAGATCGATTTTATTTTACATAGCGACTTATTTCTTGATAGTGAATCCGTTGATCGGGAGATGGCTCTCCTTGTTTTTTTCCTATAAGTATGGATCTTTTCGAAGCTATAGAGCCGTGGCTATCTCATGGAGTGATACATTGGCTATGAATAGGTTTCACATATGTGGTTTTAAATTCATTAGTCATAGGATTGAAAGATACTACGGTGTCAAGGTATGGTAGCTTATTATGTGTAGGTAGCTCGATTGTAAATTTAATCGCATCGTTCAAGTTGTTGGCCATGGACAATAAGCTATCACTGGTAATTAAATTTGATGTCCATGCAATAAATATATCATTGATTAATCGTTGTAAGAAAAGAGAACCATTACAGGATTCTATTATTTGTCTATCCAACTCGTTCATATAGATAATAGCCAACATCGGAGCAAGATTGTTCCCCATCGCTTATCCCGATTTTTGTTTATAACCAACCTTTGCCATTAATTAAAACAGTATCACTAGTCAGACATAGACGTACCAATGCCTCGAAATCCTTGCCGTTCAGTGGTGATAATTCACATCCCGTTTTATATTTTAAGAAAAAACGCTTCACCACGGTGAAAACACCGGGAGTAATGTTGTTAATGTCTTCGAGGGGTATGGATCCATATAGATTGCATGTGTCGAGACTGCAAAAGCCCTGAATGTCACCGTCAATTTCCAATAAAAACTCAATGAAATCCTCAGTGTTCTTCAAATGTGCCGGTATATGTTTGAGTAGAGGGTTAAGAGATTTAGTAAGTATTTAGAGAGTGAAGTGGCCGGCATGTCGGTGGCTGCATGAATTGGTCTACCTTTCAATTCATCATCCTTGTGGTCCTTTATATATAGAGGACGATTTTGTTATTCAGATTATTGTACTCACTGATGAACCCTTAACCGGCAAAACGTCTGAGGAATTTCATAAATAATCTCACAATTTGCCTGAAGAAGTCCCTTTTTTGGTTTAAAATAAACCAACCGACATATATATATACATATATATATATACATACATATATACATACATACATACATACATACATACATACATACATACATACATACATACATACATACATACATACATACATATATACATACATATATACATACATATATACATACATATATATATATATATACATATATACACATATACATACATATACAATCTGCAGACATGCATGTTAAGGCGTCCTACACCTCATCATATATATATATATACACACATATATACACACATACACACATATATACACACATATATACACACACGCACGCACGCACGCACACACACACACACACACACACACACACACACACACATATATATATATATATATATATATATATATATATATATATATATATATATATATATATATATATATATATATATACTGTACAGGGTGTATAAAAAACTGAACAGATTTGAAATTGCTTTCAATTGCACAATATAGATTCCTTAAGTACCCATTATGTAGAATAATGAGAAAAAAAATGCTTGAACTCAAATTGTGTAAACCAGGGGTGTTTCTTTTCCAACAAACTAACTATTAAAAGCTTTAACAGTATTTTCAGTTAACTCATATCCATCCGTATTACTTGATTTCTGAAGTATATGATGGGAAGTTTAAATATTACAGAACTCCGTGAGTATTTGCAGTAGAAATACGAAAATAACACCACAAAAATCGGCTTGAAAAGTTCTATGAAATCGAACAATGTAAAATAGCCATAAATAATAAACTATCCATACTCAAACAATGTAAACCATGGTTAATAGAGGACAGGGTTTGGAAGCTGGAGGCATGGCCAAATTATGTTATTGTTCTCTGTCACGTGACAATACAGGTGCATCAAAATTTATTTGTAATAGGAGACTGTATTTAGTACTTGAAAAACGTCTTTTACGTCAAAAAACGTCAAATACCAGGTGCAAATTGCTCCATACATGGTTGCGGGACTAGTAGAAAACACTTTGATCTCAGTATTTTTTGAAATCCAACAAAAGACGACAATTTATCGACGAAAATTTGCGAAGTGTTGGCGAGGCTTGTCACAAAGGACGCTGGATCGAGAGATAGATGCAAGTTTAAGAAATCAAATCGCTCACACAGGAAAAAATTAAACATCCCAACAATGGTTTATTATTGGTATTTTTTCGGTATTTTGTTGGATCATTATTGGAACTCTAAAATGTCATACCAATATTGGTATAATGTTATATATACCAAATTGGTATTCTATAAAGAGTTACCAACATTGGTATCAATGTGGTGTACCAATATTGGGAAATCTGCTTCCAACGTTGGTATTGTTCAAAATAACCCAATATTGGGAAATCTCTTTCCAACATTGGTATTGTTCAAAATAACCCAATATTGGGAAATCTCTTTCCAACATTGGTATTGTTCAAAATAATCCAATATTGGGAAACCTACTACCAACATTGGTATTGTTCAAAATAACCCAATATTGGGAAACCTACTTGTAATATCCTATGTTATCACGTGGGGGGACACGTGACAGGTGGACGGATAAACGAGGAAACATGGAGACTCGAGAACAAAACTAGCTTGTATATTTGATGTTCAAAGAGAATATTATATTGGCGACGAGGATCTATTAACACAAACAACAAAACAACCCAGCGCAAGATCTTACTCAAGTCAGAAAGATCAGTACACTCTTGTGTTCATATTCAGAAACACCAAGCCGTTCGATAGCGAAAAACGTACGCTAGGCGCGTGGCGGGAAAGCAAACAAACAAAACGCTTTAAAACTCTCGATTTAACGGCTAAAAACAGCCTAAAACACAACAAAACATGGCAACAGCTCTGCCAACATTCCCTTCCTTCGATCCCAACGCGGACCAGGGAGCACCCGGCGTCAGATTTAAGAAATACATCGCTCGTTTTCGAAATTTGATAGTCGCTACAGACATCGATGATCCCAAGCGTCAAAAGGCGCTCCTATTACACTACATTGGTGAAGAAGTCAATGATATCTTTGAAACACTCACAGTCAGTGAACCGGCTGAAGGAGAAACAGTTCTAGACGTCACAATTAAAGCACTATCTGAATACTTTACACCGAAGCAAAACCCTGTATTCGAATATAAATTTCGCAATGCCAAACAAACCCAAGACGAAGCTCTTATGACGTACTATACACGACTCAAACAACTTTCCCTCACCTGTGAATTTCACGATGCCGGTCGCGAAATCAAATCTCAGATCATCCAACACGGCCGTTCGCAACGACTTCGACGAAAAGCTTTAATCGATCCAACTATAACCCTGGCAAAACTTCTAGAAATGGGTAAAGCGGCGGAGCTAGCCGACTCGCAAGCAGCGAACTTAGAACGAACAGAGAACATCAGCCATTTCACAACCGGAAGTAGCAAAAACCACAACAAAGCACGCTTCCAATCCCGGAGCCCCGGTACCAGGGTGAAATGTCGTAATTGTGGGGGCACATACCCGCATGAAGGTGGAAAAACTGCTTGCCCAGCATATGGAAAAGAATGTCGCTCCTGTGGAAAACTTAACCACTTTCAATCCGTATGTC